TGATTGGAAGTGTATCAGATCGAATGAAAACCCGAAGACAGATTCGGGATGAGGTATCACATATGTGTTATGTTTCATTAATTGAACCTAAGAATTTTAAAGAGGCCTTGCTAGATGATAGTTGGGTCAATGCTATGCATGAAGAATTAGGTCAATTTGAACATAACAATGTTTGGATTCTAGTTCCCAGACCTAGAGACATGAATGTGAAAGGTACCAAGTGGATCTTTAAAAATAAATCTGATGAGAATAGTACTGTGGTTAGGAATAAAGCCAGGTTGGTTGCTCAAGGCTACACACAAGTAGAGGGTGTTGACTATGATGAGACGTTTGCCCCAGTTGCACGTCTCGAATCTATTCGTATTTTACTTGGTGTTGCATGTTTTCTTGGGTTCAAATTGTTTCAAATGGATGTGAAAAGTGCCTTTCTGAATGGGTACTTGAAAGAAGAGGCATATGTTGAGCAACCAAAAGGGTTTGAGGACCCTAAATGTCCAAATCATGTCTACAAGTTAGACAAAGCTTTGTATGGATTGAAACAAGCCCCTCGGGCTTGGTATGATAGACTTACTACATTTCTTCTTGATAATGACTTCAAAGGGGTAGTGTGGATAAGACTTTATTTGTGAAACATACTAAGTCTCATATTCTTGTTGCTCAAATTTATGTTGATGACATTGTGTTTGGATCCACTGCTGATCATCTTGTGAAATATTTTTTGGATTGCATGACACATGAGTTTGAGATGAGCATGATAGGAGAGTTGTCTTATTTTTTGGGTCGACAAATTAAACAGTCTCCTTCAGATATGTTTGTTTCTCAGACTAAGTATGCCAAAAATCTTGTGTCAAAGTTTGGTCTTGAGTCTGCCAAACATGCACGCACTCCCATGAGCACCAGTCTTCACGTTTCCAAAGATTCCTCTGGTATTGATGTTGATCCTACTCTTTATAGGAGTATGATAGGGAGTCTTCTTTACCTAACTGCCAGTCGTTCTGATATTGCTTTCAGTGTAGGTGTTTGTGCCCGTTACCAAGCCAGTCCTGAAGAGTCTCATCTTCTTGCGATCAAATGCATCATTAAATATGTTAATGGGACATTAGGGTATGGGGTCTGGTTTTCTACTGATACTATAGCCGATATTACTGGTTGTTCTGATGCCGACTGGGCAGGGTGTGTAGATGATAGGAAAAGTACATCCGGGGGGGGTTTTACCTTGGGAATAATTTGGTTGCCTGGTATAGCAAAAAGAAAAATGCCATCTCCTTTTCGACTGCTGAGGCTAAGTACATTGCTGCAGGGAGTTGTTGTGCACAAATGTTGTGGATGAAGCAAATGCTTTATGATTATGGGATAGAACAGAACACTCTCACTCTTTTCTATGATAACACAAGTGCCATAAACATTTCAAAAAATCATGTCCAACACTCTCGCACCAAACACATTGACATCCGTCATCATTTTATTCGAGAGTTAGTGGAAGAAGACCTTGTTGTTCTTGAATATGTACCCACTAAACATCAAAAAGCTAATATTTTTACAAAACCCCTTGATTTTCTTCAGCTTGAGTTTCTTAGAAAGACCTTGGGTGTAGTGCTCAGTAACTAGGGTGTTTCCTGTTTTTTAAAGTGCGTGTGAGTGGTTGGCTTATTGTATACTTGGATGTGATAATCTCATTGTCATTGATTCCTGTCATCTTTGTATCTAAAAGTATATGAACATTACTCGTGTTGCTTACAAAATTTCATTTTTTTCTTTGTTCATAGCTCATTCTGAATGCCCATACTCTTTAACTTCATGATCTCATTCTGTACACATTCTTGAGATAAACATTTGCAGGGGTTTCCGCACAAGTGATCAAAGTTCTCTATGGACCACTAACAATGTTTCTTGTTCGTTTGCTTAGAATTTGACCTGTACTAGTATATCATGGGTGATATTGAGTCTTTTAACCATCTACCAGCATTTTTTCACTTCCACGGTTTCTTCCTCAGTTCATTGATGTCCGGGCATTAGGAAAAAGACTACCTTAGAGGCACCAACTAGGCCATCCTTTTTGATTTCATACTGCTCTGGTTTGGTCTCCATACTCGTGAGCGTGTATGCCACCAGTGAGTGTCCACAAGAAAGAAAAAGTTGAAAAATAATAATTATAAGAATGGACACATTGATTGAGGGGGAGCCTCCGCACTTACTCAACAAATACCCCATGATTCCTAATGGTTTGACTTTTCTCTGTGATGTTCAGTTACTCTTGTCGGAGGTCCAGCCATCCGATCACTACGAGGATTAACTCTAGCTTTGTAGCTCTCAGGGATTGCACACACACACATTCTTTTCGTGAGATCTCATGTGTGTTTTTGAGTTATGCATTCTCATGTTGTTTATGATCATTGATTAAATTCTTTCTGATTTGTTCATGATCTTGTGATTCATATTTTTTTTTTTTAACTTTACAAGTTTACAGGATTCATGGTTGATAGATAGTCTTATCTTAGTGTTACAGCCTTCCAATGGTACTCCCCGCTGTTTACAGGACATCATTTTCCAGTTGAGTTGTATTTGTTTAAAAAAAAAAAAATTTAAGTTTGGTGGTGTTTTATCCCCGCTCGAGCGGCAAATCTCACGCTCGAGCGTGGATTTTAGTCTTACAGCATTTAGTGCCGTGTTTTTCAGTTCTGTGAGGGTTGTTTTGGCGCTCGAGTGTATCCGCGCGTGCTTCTTTTCCCGCTCGAGCGTTCAACCCCATGCTCGAGCGGATTGGTTTTGTTTAAATTCTTTCCTCCTCAACCCTTCAGTTCATTTTTCCCCAAATCTTATTCTCTCTCCTCAGGCGCCTTGGGGTCTCAAACCACTAGGAATCACAGGGTATTTGTTTGAGGTCCCATCATTTGATGAGGATAAGTTTGGTTCACCTACTCGGCCTTTTACTAAAAAGACTGTCTCTCAAAGTCAGTCTCACATTCGGGGTGTTTCTACTGGGGCGGGTCGGTCTGGTGCAGGTACAGGTGATGCTCCTGCTATGGCAAAAGAGGCTGAGTACGATGCAGCTGCTGTCGGTGGTGCTATTGGTAAGGGGAAGCAGCCACCTCCGGTTCGTACTATTCGTGGCCAGCTTCAGTCTTTTGAGCAGTCTGTTGCTTCGCGTTTTGATCGCCTCAAGGGGCGGATGGATATCTTTGAGGTACAGCTCACGGATCTCGAGACCACTGCTGATGCTCGGTTCATTGCATTGCAGGCTTCTTCAAAGCGCATTGAGGAGTCCGTGGCCCAATCTTTTTCTCAGTTGGATCAGATCCTGTCTCTTCTTCGGATGCAGTCGCAGCCACCCGCTCCATGATCATTGCAGTTCCGACATGTTTTTGGCTATTGTTTTTCTTGGTTTTTGCTCACTCCCGGACAAAAAGGGGAGTAGTTTGGTTTATACTTCACACCGGATGCACTTGGTTTGATAGGATACACTTGGTTTGATGGGTATAGTTTTTTTTCTACATGGTTATATACTTGCTTATATATTGTTACAGTTGGATATGATACAAATGGATAGATGGATATATTGTTTTTTTTTTATAGACATATCTGTTGCTATTCATCTAGTTCCACGATTTTGGTTTGTGTTATCTTTTTAGGGGGATTGCTCAAGTTACATAAGCCTTGTGTGGTTCATGTTTTTAGTGTTTATTTTGATTTTCTTGTTTTTGAGGAGGTTGTTTTGATTAGCTGGTTTGTTTTTTTTTTTTTTGGTATTTGTTAGGAAAATTGTTTTAGAATAGTTTTGTCCGAGATTTGACAAAGGGGGAGATTGCTAAGACCCTCTTGTTGTCAAAATCCATGGAAAAACTAAATGTGTAATCAAGTTGCAGATTTTCCAGTTTTTCAAGTTTTAGTCTTCCCGCTCGAGCGGGAAAAGTGACACTCGTGCGGGGTTTTCACTCTCACAGCATCTGGTACGTCTGCAAAAATGCTGGGTGATGTGTTTGGACGCTCAAGCGTGGAATCTTCCGCTCAAGCGTGAACCCTGTATAGAACACGCAATATAGAGTCCCCGCCCGAGCGTCAATTCCCACGCTCGAGCGGACCGCGCGATCTCTGTTTCTATATATTCGTGTATTGGTTCAATTTTAGGGTTACTTTTCCTAGATCTTGTTTAAGGGTCTTAGGGTTTTGTTTGAGGTTTTCTTCTGAAGTTTTTTGTGAGTTTTCCTTGATATATTTGAGAGGGTTTGTAACCTATGATCTAAGATACATACATCAAGGAGTTTGTTTCTTCATAATTAAGAGTGTTCTTCTTCGGTGGAATCCGAAGATTCAAGCATGGAGCATCAAAGGAGTTTGATACTGTGTGTGGTCGTTAATTCGACATTAGAGGTTGTGGATTCAATCTCATACTGATCAATTCCGAGATGAAGGCTGTGGTGAAAGAGTTATAGAAGGTTTGAAGACAAATTTGATGCGTTTGGTAATTTGTTGGTTATCTTGTAATCTTTCTTTCTTCAGTAGTGAATTGATTAGTGACATTTCACCCGTGGTTTTTTTTATCACAATTGGAGGTGCTTCAATCATGGTTTTTTCACGTAAAAATCGTGTGTGTCAATTTATTATTTTTCAAAAACAACAATCTAAACCACTTTCGTAAGTGCTTGTTGATTTAGATTGTGTGTTTTGGGTTATTGGGAATTGGTGGAATTAAATCTTTATCGAATCACGAATCACTTAGGATTTTCACAGGGGTTTGTGAAATGAGACTGTTAACCACATGGATGGGAATGTAATTTCCAAAACGTCAGGGGATGGGTAATAATTGGACCAAACCTCAAGGGGTGTCAATGTAATTTACCCTTATTATATTCATTGATGATTTCTGAATTTGGTGCACTATAGGTAGTTTTCAATTTACATAAATATATTACTTTCATTAAGCACAATTAACTCTAAAGTATTTGAGAGAATTCTACCATCAATCTGAGATTAGGGGGATAGTGAATAATATACCTTCTGTTTCAATTGGTTTCCCAAAAAAAGTAATAGAAGCGGCGTAGAAGTTTAGGTAAGATAATTGGAAGGTGCACAGTTTGGTTTGCAACTTCTCCTTCAGTGTCAGTTCTATGAACACAATTTCAGAACAATATTCAAACAAAGAACCAATCAATAAAAATAAATAACAAAGAGTTACAAAGAAATATAACTATATTAAGTTGCAACTACAGGAGAAACTAGTGAATTTTCAATCACATTATCAAGAATCAATTTTGAATCCTTGCCTATTTGACTTAATTATGGATGAATTAACTAAAAAAGTATTCAGGATGATCTTAGTGTATGTAATTTCCAAATGATATTGTTCTATGGGGTAAAACTAAGGGAGGAATTAACACTAAAAGAATATCAACAAAATTGAAAGAAAAAATTATAGAACAACTGTAGGGTCAACGATGCTTTATAGTATAGAATAAGGGCAGAAACGACACGGTCATAAAATGAGTATAGCTAAACTGAGAATACTTAGATAGATGTGTGGTAAAATTAGGAAAGACAAAATTAAAAATGAAATTGTAGAAGGAGAGTAGCAAATGAGGATTAGTTGAGAGAGAATTGGCTAAAATGGTTTGGTCATGTACAATAAAAACGTATAGATGCAACTGTAAGCAAGATTGATTTGATCAATTGATCACCTTATTAGGGGGAAGGGAAGACCTAAATTGACATGAAAAAGTTATATCAATTTATTTAATTTAATTAAGCATATAGCCCTTGGCAAAGCAAAATGAAGAAAAAAGATTCATGCAACTGACCTCACTTGATTGAGACACAAGGCTTACTTTGGTTTGGTTATTAAGTTGCACCTCATAGAGTGCCACCCTATTTGATGGACAAACACATGTAGTAAAATTTTAGGGAGTTCGATGCTTCAATTTCTCCACTTTGCTATTAGAGAGAGAGGTGGGAAAAAGATTTGGTACCTTACCACAATCACATATGGAGCATAAAGATATGAGAAAATGATGAGAAATGTGGCTGGAACTCAAGACTACAGTTCATATTTAATGAATTACAACCTATTGTCACTCTCACCATCTTTTGTAATTTTTATTGTCACACCAGGTCCCCCATTGTGTTCATTTTAGCCTACGTTATCAGCTTGACATAAAACTTGTTATAGCTCACTTTATTTGAAAACCAAGCCAATTACAAATGCTCGGACTAAGCAAGTTCATCTTGATGTCAACAGAAGTAATACAAAATATTTAAAATACCTCAACTGCACAGCCTCATCAGTAAGTTCTGCTATTCCAGCTCTAAAATAAGGAATCTTCATGAGATCATGATAATCAAGGACTACCTGATTAAAGAAAACCAGCAACACATTAATCATTAGAGGATCACCCCATTAATTGAGAACAAAAATCACTCGTAAAAGGGCACATACACAGCACATTTTGCATCATGTTTCTTAGGCCACGATTGTTTGAAAATTGTTTAATCATGAAGGATCCTACATACAGACAACAGTCACAACAATGCCATCAAAAATATTCTGCAAGAATTAAACAAGATTTATAACCGAAAATTTATTAGATCTCATTGCTATGCCCCTAGAACAATAGATGAATCCATTCTCAAAAGACAATGACTAAGATAAATTTAACTAGTAATGTGGAAATTCATTCTTTGAAAGGGCACATGTAAGTTTGTATGCAGTGGAAAATAGAAACTGATAATAGGGTATTAAATTTCAAGCTTACTTGACCAACATCATCTTCTCCAACAGCACCAAAAGGTATAATTTTTGCTCCAAATCTTGCTGCCATCCTAATGAACTCAGACTGTTGTGGCCAGAATAACTTGTACTCCTCACCCTGATTGGTGCGACACACTTGAGTGTTAAACAAACACACTAAATTCCTCATGTACACATTAACCACACCAAAGATAGAGTAGATGAAATGCACATCAATATCCTTAACTTCAATGAGAGGTAGTGAAATTTTCTCCTGAGTGAAGAAAGTAAAAAGCTCCATTTGTTGAATAGTGCCTCTGCCCGGTTGAGAAATTAAAATAGCTTGGCTAGCAGTGGACTTGTTCATAACATTGGACTTAAGAGCAACATAGGAGAAAAAAATAATTGTCCTATTTAAGTCATGCCAGGGATAAAAATCGTCACAGATAAGTGGCTCTCACTCCTTAAGCTGAAGACTGTCAGTGCTTAGGAAAAGTAAATTAGGTTACTTCATTACCTATCTGTCTTTCAAGTGATTATATCCTACAAGGCAAGCAACAGAATGCTAGCAAGATGGAATGACATACTAGTATAAACATGTCATTATGAAAAGCAGGAGAAATATTGGATTTGTAGGATGTGGATCAAGGTAGGATGTAACCTTTAATTCATACCTTTCGGTGAAGAGCCTCACGCATTCCTCCTGGATACAATAGGACATGGGACTTTGAAGCAAAAAGTTTATAGAAGTTAGTTGTTGATACAGGAACTGCATCCATCATTCTGAATGCGTCAAATCCATCTAAAATATATAATCATTAAACAGAGTAAGAGATAATTGCTGATAATTCTCCCACAGCTAAATTTCAAAGCAACTCACCCAAAAAAATGGGTTGAGAATTTTTCAATGGCCTATATACTCTCATGTTGGATGGCCAACTTGAGAGAATTCAAACCCTATTTTGGGAAGATGGAAATAAGGAACTCTTTTTTTCTTATTTTCTTACTTTTTGACTTATTGACAAATTCATTTGGGAAGTACTCAACAAGCAGTTTTTCTTTTTTTTTTTCTTCAAAATTATTATAACATGGTCTCACATCACTTGCAAAATTGTAAATGGAGCATATTACTCTCATTACCCTAGTCAAAATCCATACACACACGAGTGTATTTTGATAATTTCACTTATTGGCTTATTTCCAACTTTTCACATACTTTTTTTGCTCAAATAAATTGGTTTTTGGCCTATTGAAATTAAGTCAAAAACTGGCTTTTATCTTTCTTCTCAATTGAAGTTATGATTATTTATAATTCTAAAATAAAAATTAGATATAGATATTATAATAGTGTGAATTTCATAATGATTGTGAAAATTATAAGTGTGAATATAATAGTGTGAATTTTTGAAAATGTAAATACTCATACTTTCAACAAATTAGAATAATATGAATTTTTAAAAAGTGTGAATATTTTTTCGGCAGTAGTGTTATATGCACCAATTAGTATACTAACTAGTGTACCAATATTAGTTATGATATTATTATTGACCCCACTCATTATACAAATTATAAATACTACAAGCATCTTAAATTACGCATGAATATTTACAAATTTTAATACTTTTCAAAATTCCAAAATTTTATTAATCAAAGTATGAATATTTACATTTATAATTTTCACATTTACTAAAGAATTCACACTAATATATATATACTTTATATATGTGAAAGCTGGAATTGGCATTAATGCCACAAAATTCTTGTTTGTGAAAATACTCGCAGGAGCAATTACCTTTTTCTATAACTGCAAATTTATAATTATGTAGTTGCATATTCATATGGGTGTGTATATCTTCTAGTATATATATATACATGTACGGGAAAGAAATATTCTTCTCGTATAATCCTGTTGATCAAGTCTGCGCTCCTCCAAACGTCGTCGCTTTACTCCCTGAAAACACAAACGTGAGCTAGCCGGCAGGTGTGTGCCGGATACCTCTGTGATGCCTAAGTCCGCAAAATAGACAAATAGACAAAAGCTCTGTGTATTCGAGAATCAAAGTTGTGTTACCTCTCCATAGGTGATGTTATGAGCTTTTTATAAGTTCCGTGTGGCACAATCCTAGTAGGACTCTTACTCCTCCATATAGAGTCCTCCTAAGAATCACATTCCTGAAAGATAATGCTTATCCTTCAACGCCCCCCTCACTGCTTAAACCAAGTGAGATGGTTTTACCATGGTTGGATGTTACGCCCGAGATAACATGGCTACGCTAAAGCCGCAGACTAGACCGAGCTCCAACTAGCTCGGTTCTTCTTTTCACTGCGCGTGTACCTCGGTTGACATATTTCAGCTGGGTTGTCTGAAACCGTGCTATCCACAATGAGCTTGGACCGAGCTATCCAACAGCAAGGTCCTAAGCAGAAGCCAACAATACCTTGGCTCAAGATGGTTTGACCGAGCTAACTGCCACCGTGCCGACCGTGGTGACCGAGCTAACTGCAAGGTTCTCTAGGACCGGGCTAACTGCAAGGCTCTCTGGGACCGGGCTAACTATCAAGCCCTTTTAGTTAGTCCTTCTCACTGTAGCCCATAGAACGGCCCATCACCTAGCTCGGCCCAATTTCCACATAAATTACCCTCTCAATACACATAGAGGTGGGGTCTCATGAAAAAGCGTTTTTCAAAAGTGTGAAATTTTTGAAGTGGATAAATTTTACACTTCTAAATAAAAAAGTGAATTTTTTACTTTTTTTCATTTTATGTAATTTTATATTCAATTAAGATCTTATTTAATAAATCTCATCTAGTAATTTTTAAAATTTTAAATTTTATCTAAACCCAATGTGTATTTTGAAAGTTATGAAACTTCTAAAGTTTTTAACATAAAAAAAAAAAAAAAATTTGCTATATAGGCATGTTGACCAAAATACAGGTAAAATTGTCATGAAAAAATATCTAATTTCAAAAATAGATCATCAAAATATAATTCTAAACATATAAGATTTATTAGATCACAAATATTCTAGTTGAAATAACAAATTAGTGTATATTTTGAAAAATAATTTTATATTAATGATAAACTTCACAAACTTTAATTATTAAGAGCATAAATTTTTCCATGTATATGTAGTTATTTTTTGAAAGTACAATTGATTTGTAATTTCTCTAATATTTTATAGGAATTATAACTAAACAAGTTGTTAAAAAAGAATTGAATAGTAATTTTCTCATAATTTTATTAACTTATATGTTTTGGCAACTCGCTAAAGTAGTCAAAAAGTCAAAATATTACTACAAAAGTCAACTATTTTTTATATATATCTATTCGTAAAAAGTCAATTAAAATTGTTAGTTTCTAAAAGGTAAAGTTTCAATAAATCTCAAAATGTGATTGTGTGAATTGTATAGTCCTTCATTTTTTATTTTTTTTTATGAACCCAATTGTCTCAATAAAGCGGAAATTATACAAAAGGGTAGTCACTTACTATAGCGATCCGGGGTTTTTCCCTTTATGTACAGTATTCCGGACTCGGTTCCGTAGATGTCGGTTGTTGTATATGTTTCTTTTCCGTCCTTTAATTCCTTGTATATGAGTTTTACGATGTGTTGGGCAGGTTTGTAACAGGTTAGTTGTGATTAAAAACAAATGGTTGCTGCCCTGATTTTGGTGTCTTTGCTCGAGTGAGCTTTGTGTTTTAGCTTGTCACGCCCCCAAACCGCCCCTAGTAGTTTGGTGCCGTGATGGCCAGTAATCCGAGATTACCGAAGGCCGACTTACAAAATTCACACACCATCAGAGTATTAATATAGGGGGCTCACAAATGCGGAAGCAATAATTCAAGCTACAAGTGGTCCATAAGAGCAGTGCATAGGTCAAATGAAATGACATACATCTTTATAAAGTCTTACAACTTAAATACAAGAATGAAATGAAATACAAAACACATCTTGACCAAAAGGCTTCTCAAGCCGACATATACAAGTACAAATGAAAATTAAGCCGAGAAGCATGATCTTCAAGATGGTGCAAAAATGCTAATC